GAATGGGAGGCATGGCTACTCTGCGTTGATATAGACTTAAAAGTATATTATTATTGTGGCTCAACTAGCTACCCTCAACCATGGTCAAAGTTATAGTATGGGACATCGATTCTCTGAGCTCTGAAACACATTGAGTAATTTACATCCTAATCTCAATGGAGCAAATTTGGACCATTTTGAAACCCACCCCCAGGTGGTAAAATTCACTATTTGTATTGGTCCGAGAATACCCTAATTGTTGAATTTCCATTGCTTAAAAATAAACCAAACATAAATTATGTGATACTCCGAACTATTTTTGTTTCAATCTCACCCATTAGTCCACCCTTCTCCCATGAATCAACCGGACCCGGACAAGTGTGAATTGACGAAAATAAAGACTTGATGCATAGATCCGTGGCCCTGGCATAGGGGCCTAAAATAATATTTCTCCCGTGGCTTGGGAGCCCACAAACTCTCAACCCACCCCAAGTATCCCAGAGTAGGTAGAACAATCTTTTAGCACAAAATAGGCAAGATAGATGGTTCACAATTATAAGAGAAAGGTATGTACACCTCACAAGCACCTTTATCAAATTATCTAAACATTGCCGGAAAGAATCACTAAAAACTAACAAATCGTCCATGAACATATTCATTATCTTCTCTACCAAATCATTGAAAATTTACATCATACACCTCTAAAATGTACTTGGAGTATTGCACAATTCAAATGACATCCAACAATAAACAACCATCATCCCAAAGGGGCAAGTGGTTAAACAACTATCTACTTTAAAAATGTAAAATTTTAGTATTTATACTTTAACATGTCCCCACACGTGAAAATAAATGTCCCAAAGGGGCAAGTGGTTGAACAACCATTTACTCCAAAAACATGTAACTTTAGTATTTATATTTCAATACATCTCCACACGTGTAAATTTTTTAAAAATTAGAGTGACGGTGAAATTCGAACAAGTGACATTATGCTCTAATATTAGATTAAACAACTATCTATTCCAAAATTTTAAGTTTTTAAAAAAAGTGTAACTTTAATATATATATATTTCAACATGTATACCTACTTTTTCTTTTCTTTTATTCATTGGTTTGTTTGAACCATTCATGATTACTTTGATCAAATATCACTCGCCCATGAAAAGGTAATTGCTATTTTTCAACGACGAGCAAATTTGACTGCAATGCAAGAGAAGTCTTTGTTTCTAATATATGAAAAACCCATTTCTAGTCCACGTTCTTGAATCCATTTGACGAGATTTGTTGATTATTTGAATCGTAGAGCAAGCAAAAGTCTAAAACTTCAAAAGGCCGACCAAGCCAGAGCCGGTCCAAGGGGGCAACAAATACCCTAAATTACATGGTTGGTGGACAAGTTCTACTAATTCCTAATGATCATTTCAAATGGACGGATTCAGCAATTCAATGTGAGGAGTCATTTTTTCAAATTTTTTGAAAAAGTCCGGGACATGAACTTATATGATTTAAAGTATTTCAAAATCTATGATTTAAAGTCTTATCGACTTAAGGTGATAAACAGGTGAACTTACTAGACTCATTGAATAAATGAGTCGTATTCAGGTGAGATATGTCAATTTATTTATTATTTATTTAAATAAAATTTATATAATAATAATTAATAATTATTCAAAACATTTTTTAGAGAAACCCACACAAAATATATAAGCCCCAAAAAATTACCCTTATTCCAAACACTAATGCTTCGTCTGGTATGAAAGAAAAATAAAAGAATGAAAAATTAGAAGGGTAAATAAAAATATCATGTTTGGTAAAGAAGAAAAATAAGAAGAATAGAAAAGTGGATAGATAGGTTTTCTTTCTAATTCACCAAAATTAATCTCTCCAAAATCGAAAAGAAAGTGAATAAAAAGTTAAATATTTGTGTTAAAATATATTTTATTTGTCTATATATCATTTGATAGATACATATGTTATGTATATATTAATTTTATATATAAATAAAATGATAAAATATATATTTATACTTTTTTAAAAAAAAAATTTAAAAATAAAAAAATTTATTTTTTCAATCTTACCAAACAAAAAAAAAATTAATTATTTTTATTTTTCATTCATACTACAAACACAAAAGAAAAAAGGTGTATCATTTCTATTTTATTTCTTTGAAAGATAAAAAGTGCATCTCTCCTACTTTTCATCATTTTTACTGAGCATCTTCAACCCTCCTCTTTAAAATAGTTAGTGAAAATATATTTAAATATTATATTCACTACTTTAGCTATTCATTTTTATAAATTCACTCCAACCACACTCTCTATTTTAGCTAGCTACTACACCCAATTTTCACTAACATCCAATAATTTAAAAGAAGTAAAACATATATATAGAGAGAGATAGAGAGAAAAAAAGGTAAAGAAAGAATTTAGAGAGTTCAAATGGCTCACCATATTTTGTGAGTCATTTGGATTAACTAGGAAATAGAGAGCGGAATAGAAAGTGGTTAGAAAGAATTTTTTGTGTTTGACTACTTAAAGTAGTTAAAAGAGAAGAAATAGAAAGTGAGTTAAAGATGTTCTAATGTTACGCTCACTAAATTTTGAGATTAAATTAAAAACCCAACGGAGTATTACACTTTTTCACTCGAATGAGGCCTGTCCGCCTCCTGCCTCCTGCCTCCTGCCTCCATGTCCGGCCTCTCTCTCTCTCTCTGGGGCTTGAGGTGAAACCCATCCTCACTGACTGAATCTCTCACTCTGGCGAGTCTCAAAAACATTCGATCTCTCTCCTTCGATTTCAACCACAGATTTTGGGGTTTCTTTGTACCTCCTTAGATTTTGTGTATGTATTGTCTGTAGTTTTTGTATATGTAGATTCAACTTTTCTATTCTCATTTGGCTAGTTAAAGGCTTCAAGCACGTGAGAAAAACATACTTTCTTTTGGTATTGATGAACAAAAAGGGTTAAACAGGTGGTGGGTGGTTAACGTGGTAACCCTACTCGATCTTACTCAACAGTATTTATTTAAAATTAATGGGTTAAACGAGTCATATCGTGTTATTTGTTTATTAAACGGTTGATATTTCTGTTGAGGTTTTTCATCTGTTTATTAAATAGGTCGTGTACAATTTTATTTATTTTTTATCCATCACACATTTAATCCGACACGTAACCGTTTAACCCGACACGATTGACAATCCTAGTATTAATTGAACTCAGCTTGAACCTGAGCTTGACGATTTATTTTTCTAAACAAACCTAAAAAATTATTTAAGTTCAGATTCTTTAGAACTCGATCTGAACCCGAGACTGAACCAAACTCAAGCCAAGCTCGAGTAGCTCGACAATTTTACATGTACATGAGTTGAGCTTTGCGAACTTGTTGGATAATAAACTAGAGGACATAATAAGAAATAAAAAAAATATATTATTTGATTTACTTATAAAAAAATACAGAACATGTGTTCTTAATAACCTAAAAAATTGCGCAGGGATCTATTGACCAAAAATTCTCATGTTATACTTAATTTCAATTTTTACAAATATGTATAATCTTATCCTTCTACGTAATCGATCATTCATCTTACTAAGCTCACCCCAATCCTCACCCCACCCCACCCCATTAACTATAACTTTAACAATTTCATAAATCTGAAAAAATTAAAAATTCATCTGAAAAGTAGATATTTCTCATTTGAATAACAAATGAATACTAGTGCAATCAATTAAAAAAAAAACCTAGTGCATTACACCAAATATCAGTGGATTAAGCCAAAAAAAAAACTCCGTAAAGCCATGCGCCAATGACCGTTGCAGTAAGCCACCTTGCAGTCTTTGATGAATTTTTCCATTTTATTTGAGTTTCATTTAGAATATGAGCATTTTTGGTCTATTTAAAGAGTAAAGGGTAGTTTTTACATTTTTAAAGAATATTAAATCAAAATTTTCACTGTTAACAAGAAGGGTGTGTAAGTGATTCAAAGGTATAATTTAGAAGAGGATGCAATGCAATTTCAAAAGATGTAGGGAATGTCATTAAATATATGCATAACAAAAGGGGGTGTGGATGGAGTTTAACTTAATCAAAGATATCAGATTACAATGTGCCAGCCCCAAAATAGGGTCTCTTGTCCTGAACCTCGCCGCAGCTTCGCGTCCCCTGTACGTTTCGTTTTTTTCTCTATTTATAAGTTTAGCATATTGTATGTTTGTGTAAACGTATAGGTGGTTGGGTTTTTATGAATTTTGTAGGTAACAAAATAAAGAATTTAGCATAGTTCAACTATTGAATATGCAGTCCTCCTGCTTCTTGTTGGCTTGAGCGAATTTGATTTTCTTTTACACTACTTAGGGTTCATGTGATCAGATGTTTTTTCGTTGAATATCAAGCTATGGTGCTCACAATTAGACTTGTATTGACACATGAGGTACTGTTATTTTTTTTAGTTTCATGTTGCAGTGTTTTCGAGATGATGAGTTTGATTTCGCAAAATGCAATCCCTAAAGACCGGGTCAAGAAAATTAAAAGTAAGGATAATGAGGAGCCTTAAATTGTTGAGGGCAAAGAAGATACTGAAGATAAGCTGCAGGAATCTGATTCCGATTCTGATGTATTAATAAATAAGAAGAGGAAGAAAGAGCGCATGGAAGAGAATAAGCAATTGAAAATTGACCAAGAAAGGGAAATGAAGAAGCTAGAAAATATATATCTTTCTAGTTTCATCCAAAACTAAGGAACTGATTGGAACACTCAAAGATGAACGGCACTGTTCGTTCATTGGCTAGTACAACAATTGCTGACTTCTGGAGGTGATGGGCAGGTCTACCACTGGGATTTGAGAACAAAGGCCTGCTTCCACAAGGGCGTTGATGAAGGTTGCATAAATGATACGACACTTTGCACTTCCCGGAGTGGATCTTTGTTTGCCGCTGGTTCAGACATCAGAGAGGAGTTTTTAAGGGGCATGAGGAAACCACTCAAGACCATAGTGAACCTTACCGCTAAAGTGGATTTCATGAGAGTCAACAATGATGCTCAACAATGGATTTCAAGTGAACATATTTATATATAGTTACGTAGGTATATACTTCATCAAAAAGAAAACAAAAAACAGAATATGCTGTCCTGACTCCCGGCCATCTTCTGCCCATCTATTGAAACCTAAACCCTTCACTTTGCTAAAAGATGCGGGTAAACAAAAAACTAGAGAGGGGGGAAAAGATACTTAGTTTCTTCCTATAATTAATTATCTAAAAAAGTACAGTTTCTTCCTACCACCTCTGATTAACCAAAAAAAATGAGAAATAAATCAACACTGCATCTTCAACTCAACAACCCTACTTATATATCTTTGACGTGAGCAGGGACAATGTCAGCTTGCAAGATGAATTGGCATCAGCTTCGTTGCTTTCTAGGGAACAGGATCATTCTAAATATTTCAAAACAGCTTCACTATACCCACCAGGAAATGGGGCCCAAACCATCAGCATCAAGTGATCCCTGTCGAAATACAAGGAATTTATTACAACAATTACTAGCCGCTGCTATATAAGCAAAAAGGACATCGCCTTCCAGAAATTTTTTGAAACAGTGAGCAAATAGATGCATGTGAGAGACATTGGCAATTTCTTCTTTCATATCACGTGAGGGAAAAGTTATATGAACTCCAATATCACCAAAACTATACTGCTAAGCATTTGGCTGAAAAGTAAGATTTTATTTCATTGGAGAAGAAGACAGGCTACCACAAAACCATCTCAAATAAACTATGACCATCAACTCAATCCTGTCATGATCCAAAGATGAATAATCTAAGAGCAATCACGATTTCAGTTGCATTATATAACATGCGAGCATATTTCTACAAATTGTACCATATTTCTACAAATTGTACCGTTTTATTTGGGACAAATACTAGTATAAATTACATACTTAACTGCACACAGGTCACCTAAACCGTTCCTCTAGTCAATCTAAAGCTACAAGAACTAGCTGCCTACTGTCAAGGTCCAACAGATTCTGTCATAGCCATGGATAAGATCAAGTGAACCTCTGCGAGGCTTTGCTGGCGCCGGACAGATGACATTGCAAAGCTTTGTGCACGTTTTCTGGCGCACTGGTAAATGGCATGGCCATGGCAAGCAATGCATCACATGTTAGGAATTCAGTGGAAGGCCTGGTTCCCAGGTTGCTGCAGCCCAAGATGGCATGTGACTGATAAATGTCAACCATAAGGGTACATGGATGAATTTAAAATTTTCAGTTTGTCAAGGCAGAAAGGAAGCTTCAGTAGTGAGGTTGAATCAATGATTTAAATGTGCTAAGAGTACAAGGGCTCGTGGCCCTATATTGATCTAATTACCTTATGGATCCATATATAGCTTTAGATAAGAACACAAGATGGATCCCCAGATGCTCATCCACACAATTGTTTTTAAGAGCAGTTCTATGCTCCTCGAGCGTACTACAAGGAAGGTGCAGGGTGGAAGAGGCTCGTCTTGTTATTTTCGGCATCTGTGCTACTTTTGGGTGCCTGCCTAAATTTTATTTTAAATTTTCTAATTCATCATTCACTTTTTGAATTCCTATCTCTTCTCTATTTAGCAACATCAATTCTCATTTCTATAACAAGAAAAATTGGACACACTCCACCATAAAATATATTAACATACTATGTAATCGAAATTCTTTCCAAAAATCAGCAGTATTTTGTGGGCAGTTGAATCTAAGATAGCCTTCAAAGGAAAATCTAGCTAGGTAAAACCACAGCTCGAAGCAAAATGGAATGAAGTTCAAAAGTGTACTTACGGTGACCACCATAGGCGCAAACGGTTTTGTTTCTTTTTCTTGCTCAACAGGTACTGAAGGATAATTTACACTGAGCACTCGGAACCTAATCTGCAATCAAACACCCGAAGTTAACACAAACTATCACATAAGAAGAACTAATTATCATACAAATCTGCCAAGATGAAAGCATAACATGAACCTCGTCAATCCCATCGATAGGATAATTATCACCATTAAACTCCCATATCCACCTGACTTGGTTTCTAAAAGGGACACCAAAAAGGGAAACGTAAAAAAGAGGACATTAAATTAATATGGATCTAATCCGGCACAGACAATTTTAGCCATAGATTACTTAGATCACTTGACACAACAAAAACACTTACTTGTTTTCTGGGTCAGGTTCACAATGGGATGGTTTTGGCATTAGATCGATGGGAACATAGATGTCATCAAAAAATCCAAGAGACACTGCCAGCCATTGATTTAGTTTCAACATCAGCATGCAAATGCAACAACTATCAACAAATGATTCATCATTATGAGAAACACAAGAATTGCTAGATAGCAGCAATTCGTTTCACAAATAAGCAAGATATGAGTTTGAATTATAATAGCTACTATGTAACCATTGAAACGAAGAAAAGTATTGAGCATCAATCTTGAATAAAATGATTAATAATCATGGAAATGCTGTAAATAATGTCTAGAACACAACGTTTCTGTCATTATAAACCCATGAACCAAGCTCCCAAGTGCCCGACAGAAAAAAAAAAAAAATGAGTCAAGCTTCTAGAAGATGAACAACCAAGTGTCGTTCAAGATAATATAGCAATCTCATAAAGATTAAATTCTCATTACAAAGGTCTCAACTGTCAAATGTTATTCCACCAGACTGTTTTTTACTGTATGGTAGAAAGATACCAATTAACTGAAAAAGATGGAAATGCTTTGAAACTGCTCAGTAGAAGCCTTGCGAGGCAGTGTATAATCCAAGATCTAGCAACACGTAACATCAGAAACTAGGGTCCAAATCTTAGATTAATAAGAAATAAAGCACAAGGAATGTCCATCCCAGAAATATATGATTTCTTCAGTGCCAAACCTTGAAAGAGTTTCACACCATCATCGAAATATAAGGGTAAATATCCCAAAAACACAGCATGTTTCATTAACACATAAGTCGGATTAAAATTCTGTATCCAAAATATTGAGCTTCAATTGTACCAAGGTGGACTCCTGAGCCTTTTGGTCTTCATCTTGACTAGTTAAATCCAATGAATACATAGGCAGAGATGAGGAAAACTATAATTGGGACTGTGACGAAAAAGGAGAAAACAACAGTTGGGAGAGAGATGAGCCAAACAAGTCTGGCCTGGTGTTGAACAAACTCACTCCGAGTTGTCATAGCAATAAGTGCTTTATTGAGCAGCCATAAACGTAGTCAAGAGTACGCATTCATAGTTACCACCTCCATTCAAGATTTGAAGATGGAAGGAAAGCTCTGTTTCCAAAAAATAATTGGCAGTGTGAGAGAGAGATTTGCTCCCTCAGATTTTCCTCATGATTTTTCTAGAAAATAAATGATTCTCAAGTCAAGCCATCTAGTTCTTAACTTGTCAAGACGCAATGACAATTAATGCAAGCCAGGTAAGGCTCAGCTCCTTGTGGGCAGATGATTTCAATGTATACCCTTGCAATGCAAAGAAAAAACTCAGCAATTCATATGACAACATGCTTACAAATAATTAGCCACCCGCATAGGTGATGAAAAAAATACATAAGATAATACAATAGCACCAACTTGTGACTAATTTAAAGAAATCAAAGAGAGAAGTCATACAGCGTACACCATTTGAACCAGACTCTTTAAGTTTTGCACCTATAACCTCCCCTACAAATGGACGAAACATTATCATCCTAAACCTTACCTGCCAGAACAACATGAATAATTACATAAGCACGTGCTAAGGGGGCTTTATACTCCCGATGGACATGCAATCATTTTGTCAAACATTCGAAAAAGCACTCTTGTGCATGATATGCAAAGATTGCAATTCAACATTGATTGGAATAGCATGCAGTACTTTTTTAAAAAGAAGAAGAAAAAGCACTCTTGTGCATGATATGCAAAGATTGCAATTCAACATTGATTGGAATAGCATGCAGTACTTCTTTAAAAAGAAGAAGAAAATTTTCTATAATGCTAGTTTAGTGGCAATTAGAAAAAGCACATCAAATACCGTCAGACTAAACATGAAGCACATACATGTTTAACTCCTGAATGACTCACCCCCAAGAAATCTTGAGCCCAAATACGAGTGTAAAATGTCTACCACATCAAGAATCCATCAGCTCCACAAAGCATCCTGGTTTGAATATACTACCTTTTCCACTACTGCACTAGCTTCTAAACCACCGCAACTCCAATTTTCATCGTGGACTTGTACATCCCGGACCATCATTCATGGGTTGGAGACATCTAACATCCACATCAAACCAATCCCCCTACCCCAAAGGGATGCGGAAATTTATATAGAATGTTCAATATCATCATTAACCAAAATTGTGAAAGTTACGAATTTGCAAACATTCCCCAACTATTAACAAGGAAGCATAAACTTCCCCCTACCCCAAAAAATAAAAAAACCAACAAAAGAAGTCCCAAACAAAGAATTCTATAAATGGAAAAGATTATGTAAAAGAGAACAAGACTATCCATAACTTACATCACTTACACCGCCCAAAGTCCCAAACATATAGCTAGATTGTACACTAGGTACAACCATTTAGAAAAGTCGACATAAACAAAGAATATAAATTGCATTGTAACATGAGTAAAAACCTACTGAGATGAATTGGGACCATGAACAAACATTATAAAGATCAGCAAAATATTAAACACCAATAATAACACAATTTAATCATACCGTATAGGTGGGAGAACCTTCTCCGGGAAAGATGAAGCCACCATCAATGGATTGAATATCATAAACAGATAAACAAAGCCCCAACTTTGATATAACCTTGCATTATACAACCATTTTCCCAGTCACTTTACTGGGTTCAATAATATTACAATTATATCGTGTAGAATGCAAGCACAAAGAAGAGTATATACTGAATTCACAAAGGAAAAAAAAAAAGGAGAAAGACCTTATCTAAAAAAAGTCCCTCAAGCTGTTCCTTAATTGCTTCTTTGAGAGGAAGATGGAGAAAATGAGGTGGCAATCGGATTGTGTGCTCCATTTCACTCAAGTAGAACATTTCTTTTTCTGATTTTTTGATTCGATCAACGGAACCAACTCTGTTTGAACCGTAATAGGATTTTGGTCTCCCACAAGAAAAGAATCAAACTGCTACAAGAAACACATAATGGAGTTAAAGAAGAAAGGAAAAATTATATTTTTGTGGTTGTACTGAAACACACGGCCTTGATTCAATCGATAGAGTGATAAAACCCAGAAAAGGGTAATGGCAGTGGCCCGTTCCTCTCTTCTCACTCTGATTGTTAATTATTGTTTCAAGAATGTTAGGGAATATATAGATGTGGTGATTACTGTCGCGAATTGTCGATCGGTGCTGGAAAAGTGGCTGTGGTGAGTATTTTAACCCTATGTCGCTCGTTTCCGCAATGGCAATCACGAGCACATCGACAAATACAGGGAGGCTAGGGTGTGATTTAGACTTGAGAGAGAGGGAGAGAGCCCTAAGTAGTGATCAAAACACGGGATTTTTACTTACCAAAAAAAAAAAAGGGTAAAACAGCGAAAGTTCCACATTTAGGGATTTTTTTTTATTTGGATTAATTCTATTAGAGGTCCTTAAAGTATGAGATTTGTCTTATTTTGGTTCTCAATATTTCAATTGCATTATTTTAATTCATGAAGTATTAAATATGTTTCTATATGGTCCTTCAAGCAGACAACGTCCAGATTGCTAACGATTTTTTCTTATAAACTTGTCACGTAATAGCTAACTATGGACAAAAATAATTTTGATAACTCTTAAACAAAATTTGGATAGTTCTTAACAAAAAAATGTGTAATGTGAATAATTTTTGACTAAAATTTGAACAACTCATGATCAAATTTGTGTAATTTAAATAGATATTTAACCAAAATTTGAGTAAAAATTTGGTCAAAAGTTATCCAAATTATTTTTTTATCCATATTTAAGTATCATGTGACAAATTTGTGATAAAAAATTATTAACAATCTGAACACTGTTTGTTTAAAGAATCATATAGAAACATATTCAATATTTTAGAGATCAAAATGATGCAATTAAAACATTGATAACCAAAATAAAAAAAAATTTATACTTTAGAGACATCTATCGCAATTAACCCCTTTTTATTTTAGATTCAGTCTCAACACTGTTAAGTCCAAAACAAGTGAAACAACATCTACAGCTACAAGAACTGAAAACGAAACACAAATTTGAGCACGAGGATGAAGTGAATTCGAACCCGCAGAGCCCGCGAAGGTTCTGAGGCAAAAACCGAGGAGGTTGAATGTTGGGAGCTGGTCGAAGATGAGAGACAGTCAGCAACGGCACGGCAGAGAGGCTCCGGTGGCTTTTTCAGTTGCGAAGATCTCAGCCTCGATGCTCCACCAGCATCACCCAACTGAAATCTCGAGCTCTTCGTCAAGGTCTATAGCTCGTCGACATCAATGTACCTGTATAAATACGCCACAGTGTAACTATCTAAACATGTATACAAACCCTATATTCATCGTCTGAAGCTGTGTCTTTATAAGTTCACTGGTAATCCGAACTTGAAGCTACGGTAAATCAACTGATTAATTTGAAAAAAAAAATACTTTAAGTTGATTTATATTGACTGGTTGACATTTTTTAGCAATTACTCTCTCCGTTCTTAAATATCTGTCGTTTAAAATTTTTACTCAGAAATTAAAGAAGCTATTTATGAGTAAAAAATAATTACACAAGACTACAATAATATCCTTATTCAATACGTATTGGAAAGAAAAAAAATATGAAAAACACTTAGCCTCACCTAATCTAATACATTGAAAAGTTAAAGGTAAATTTAGAAGAAAAAATATTAATTATACTTTGGTTTCATTAAACGACAGATATTATGAAACAAAAAAACTTGTGCAAAACGACAGATATTTAAAAACGGAGGAACGGAGGAAGTAATATTTTGGGAGAGATTGCACTAAAAATACAAGCCCAAGAAATTCGCAACTTGTCTAAAAAAACTCATAGTCTATTGAATTATCAGTTCACAATCAGACATAACAATAATCAGAGTTCACAATCAAAATTCTCCCAAAAATCACCATTCCCAACCCATTTACCAAAACAACCATCAATTCCAATCAAAATAAACCAATCAGATGTGTGTTTGGCCCACTTTACTAAACTCGATTCACACAACCAACACGTGAAGAAAAAACCAAGGTAAAGAACCAATGACTTGCAGCCCATAGAAATTCGATTAATTTGATGTAAGTTATTATAGATTTCATTTAATTAAAGGAAATAAAATCAATGAAGTAAAAGTTTTTTTTTAGGTCACATAAATCAATTAATTTACTAATAACCCGATATTTTTTCAAAATTTCGACATAGTTCCTTTTGAAAATATGAGATTATGAAAATATAAACTTGTATACAAAACTAAAAAATGAAAGAAACAACCTCACAAAATGAATGAATTATACCCAAAAACCAAAACAACAAGCAATTTCACATCAAGCCAAACATATCTCCATAAACGCAAATCCGGTTAATTTGATATAGGCTAGTATTTATATCACTTAATTAAAAAAAGTTAATTCAATCTAATAATAACTCGTTATTTTTACAAAATTTTGGTAAAATTTTCTTTAAAAATAGGAGACCATAGAAAAGTGAACTTATATGCATAACTGAAAAAAAAAATTACAATTCCCAGAAATCAAACAATCCATGCCCAAGGGCACGACGTAACCATAGTTGGACATCATAGTTTGAAATTAAGTTGGCGTCTACCCTAAAAATGCATAATATAAAATGCAAACAAATAGCAGTTTTATGTAAACTTGAGTGCATGATGCAGCTTTTGGAACAATTCACAAGCGTATTTAGATTACACATAATATATCCACCATATCATTTGTTTACCCAAATAATACATTCAAAATAACACAATTTTTGTGATAAGTTGCAGAGTAGACAACTACATGATAATCAAAGCTATTATGTGGCATGAACACAACCGGCTTGCGGAAACGGCCGACGCAGAATGCGCAAGAAAGTGTGTATATACACCGCAAGTTCCATGTGTTAACTTGAACAACAATCTATGTAATGTTAAACAAGAAAGTATAAGAAAAGGATAAAAGCAAATGGATAAAGTTAAAAAGCATGATATATCATTAAAGTACCTTATTAATATCCCAATAAAGAAGTCTACGCTCATTCAATTTATCGAACACAAATGGACTCAAATTCTAAAAAAATTGAAATTTGTTTAGCGTTATACTAATGAGACACATATATTCATTGAAAATTTATCGTCATACATGTGTGGAAAAAGCTATTAAAACTATAACAACAGTCACAAACGTCAGATTACGTAATTTGCAACACATTTAAAAAAGTTGTAATAATTACACCGAGTCCAATAACACCTCCGGATATACGATATTTGTCGTGGTAACTAATCCATCAGGAGGGAGAAGGACATTGATGCGATCAACAGGCGTGCATCTAATACCACACAACACAAATAACTCTCAACAATCCAAATACGAATATTAGACACTCTTATATATAAACACTAACCAAGTCAAATGGCTAAAGCGACATTATTCATTCCATTAAAAACCTCATGAATTTGTATAGAAAATAATCATCAAACAATTCAAACTTAAAAAAAATTAGCAAAACAAAAAAAAAGCCAAATTTCAATGAACAATGTACATACCAGAAAAAAAAATCAATGAACAATAAATCATTTTCTAAATTGCTCTTTTATTAAGGCCTTCTTCCCTCACAAATAACAACTCATTTTATCACTTTGTACAACAAAAAAAAACTAATTTCTTCTCTCATTAACACTGAAAAAAAAAAAACTAACTGAAACAAAAAATGTGCAGACATAAAAGTGGGTGCATAGGCAAGTGATCAAGGGAACATATATAGACTATAGAATCATGTAAGTTTGAAAAATGTCACTACTACTACGGCATGCAAACAATATCCAAATTTTTGCACTCATTAAACCATCCATTAAATAAAAATAAAGAACTACATTATCTAAATCACATATATTCAAACTGAAACTATAAAATCATAAAATCCATGATAATTAAAGCTATTGCACATACATGAAAGGTATAAGATATCATTCACTTAGTAAATGTACAAGTACTATGAATAAAAAAATTTAGTAATCAACTACTGAATTGCAGAAAATCCAAGCCTGTGCATAAAAGTTAGGATGATAACAAGGACAAAGTGGAGCAAAACATACTTTCTTCGTAATGGGCACTTAAAAATCTTGCAAAGCAATAGAAGATTCAGAGTCATAATTATAATTAAGCCAAAACTTTAATGAATAAAGTCATTGAAGAAAACTTTTCCATATATTCATTGGAAAATTTTAATATAGTTTAAATTCTTAAATTGCGTCACTATAGTTTAAATTGATGAATGGTTTTGCGAGCGTATCAAGTGTACCACATATTCTACCGCTATATAAGTCATAAGATGTGAGTGTGAAAAATAATACTGAGGACTTTGCCTAATATTTGGAATTGAAGGATACACAACGTAATTATTCACACATAAAGTAACCTAAAGTGATGCAATTACCAATTCAACTGAAGCAGAAGAAATGCAATTAATAATCCCCAAATTCGAATTGAATCTAAAATAACTACAAAGTTCACACCAAAATCGAACATAAAGTAATTACAAAATTCATTGAATCTTATCAAATCAAATTCAAATTACATCTAATCAAACCAAGTTAACCTAAAGTAATTGTAAAATTCGCATTTTGTAATTGCTTCATTATTACACTTTTCTAATCATCTTTACCAAAAGTTATCGACTTATGGAGTTATGGGTTTTCTTTAAACTATTCTAGAAACCATTTCTCCTTTGTGTGTGTGTTGAGGGGGGGGGGGGGGGGGTGTGCAAAATCTCTAGAAACATTGAGCAACAAAAAATACCCATGAAGAATTGGTCTATGCAACCACAACCCATTTCAAACATTCTAATTTGGAACAAAATATTGTTGGGATTTCTCACGATTTGAATCCACTAACAAACACACACAATCGAAGAACAAATCAAGAATATAAAGCAATAAGAAACAAGAAAGAACAAGACACAGATTTTACGTGGTTCGGCAATTTGCCTACGTCCACGAAGCTGCAGGGATTTCACTATTGAGAGAGTTGAATACAGAGAGCGGCTGTACCATACACAATTAACCCTAATCACCAAAACAACAGGGTTTATATGTCCTACGCACTGGGCTGTATAACGGGCCCAAAAAATTTTCCTCGGGGGCGTTGCCCCCGAACCCCCACGAGGCTTGACCATGAGCGCTACGGCTTGGGCCTATCGGCCCAAGCCTTCGCTCCATGGACTAAGCCTCAGAAAATTTTCCATTAAAAACCACACAACATTATT